AAAAAATGTCGAATAAATCAAATAAAACTATTTTCTTTCGTGCAAAATCACGCGGTACGCAATGTGTTAACACGTTGACGACATCGCGCGTTTTGTGCTTTTGCACCGCGTGGGACAAGAGCGATTTTGCGAGCGCGCCGCCGCACACCAAATCCATGGATTTTGAGCTGTAAATACGCAATACTTAGATGCGATGAAGTGTTTTCAATGATGTTCGATCTGTCTAAGCTTATCAGGAGTTACAGTAATGGAAGTTCGACCGAAATGACGTGTTAAAGGAATCGCGGAAAATTCTTGCATTCTTTTTTTCAACATGAATGTATCAGTTGTGATCACTAGATGCAATACACAAAGTTTTACGCATGAAGGTTCGGTTTCCGAAGAGAAACAAACTCACGAAAATCCATTCTATGGACATCGAAGGTAATTCGGGCGGAGCCAAAGGCGGGGCATGGAATAAGTCCGCACTGGGGCGGCTACGTATCAGGCGACGCAATGAAAGAATCGGGTTAAAGCGCGCGATTTCGGAGAGTAGAGACAAATCGATCGATAGAATAGGATGGAGTAGAAGTGTAAGATGTGAATGCAATAAAGCAGAAGGCCAGAAAGAGTTTCTAGTGAAGGCACTCCAAGAACCAAGTGGAAGCATCCCCGTCGCCAGCATTTGTGAAAGACGTCCGTGGGCACTTTGAACGCGTAGCAGCCCTTTCGGTTTTTCGAATTTTTTACCAAAACAAAGCAATTTTTCTGTTCTTTTCATTCTTATCGTGGATAATGAGTCTCAAGCCAGTGATTTATGGCTGAAATAGAATCATGATTTTTCCGCGCAAGATTCCTTTAAGGCCATGAAAAGGCGAATTTTACTTTCCCTTTAGTGGTTCCAAAATTAATTTGGACGTGGTTGTTTCAGTAAAAACACATATCTTCCCATACGAATAGGTTTGTATTCGCTTCTATTATTCCTTTTTATCAACATGTTTACGTTATTGAAAAGAAACGAGGAATGAACTGAACAGACATATCCGTAAGGTCTGGAAAACCTCTGCCAAACTAAAGAATATTTGGCCTTTCTGTGAGCCATGTGGTTTTTAAGTATGCTAATGTATGACCTATAGAATGAGTACAAAGACCTTAGGAATAAGTCGCGCAAGCGCAAGAAAAGGGATGACTTGGTAGGCGCGTCACGCTATCGTCAACGTGTTAATGCAGCATCAATAAAAGTGTCCAATTTTTTGGCCGTCACATTTGCATCACAGATAATTTTGTAGATTACAATTTTCCTCTAGCATCAACAACATAGAGAATTGACCACTGCTCTGTTTATTAGTCTGAGTTGTTTAAGCTTGTGCGCTTTCACCGTACTGGGAAAATACTAATATCATCCACGTTGAGAGTCCATTATGAGAGGAATCATATCTGAATCACATTGAAAAGAATTCATTAATTCGCCTAGGCCGCCATTGACCTCATCGTCAACCGTGTTGAAGAGTGGGCCAACGCAAGCGGAATTACTGAGTGTTGGTTTATCTCAAATTTGTACCTTTCCTAGGCATCTGGCCGTCTCTAGGCGTCGCTCTTACTGCAAACTACGTCGTACTCATCCCGTTATCTAAATTTTAGAGAGCAACAGCGAGAAGCGTTAAGTGAGTTGGAACAGAAAGTCGCTCAAATTTTACGTCAACCAGCACAACCAGTGAAAGCTGCGCCATTTCCCACGACGGGTCATGCTCCTCTCACGGCCACCGAGGGAATAGCTGTAGCAGGGCCATCTTGTACGTTTCTTACTGAAATTAGCTGCATACTTCTGAAAATGAGCTCTCCAGGTGGTGTTTACTCGAAAGCTGACTGAATTAGCTTGAATGGAAAGTATTCCACGTTTTTCCAACCGTTGAGCCTTCTTAGTATAATATGCAGGTAGTAAATGGGTTCTAATTTAAGCAGCAATGAGTTGTGCCGATACGTTGAAGACGTTCAACAGTCTGTTTCCGTCTACAAGCTCTACCACGAACGCTGCAGACATCAGTGGAACATCAGCGAATGCCGTAGTCGGTGGCCTGGTGTCTCAGAATGGTTCGTGCTAACTTTCTTCGCTTAGCCTTGCTTCGCATTATCGATTATTCTTATTCCCTTTGCGCATTTGCGCGCTTTCCATGAAACAGTTTTATTCCATTACTGAAGTTATGAATGAACATCAATTTCAGCGGGATCGCTTCCAGATTCAGGCTTATCTCAATGGGACCGTATTCTTAATCCTTTGCAGAAGATGGAACAGTGTGAGTTTTTGTTTTGGTTGTTGTTGA